TCTTAGCGTCTTGATTGAGAGTCGAAGTTCCAGTCTCGTGATGGTGACCGTGATGAATAGAGCATTAAAATGAGGATTGTGGCATGCATGCCAGTTCGTCTCATATTGGGAGGGGGGGGGGGAATTTGACTTCATTCTGTAACTTGAACGTATGGATTTATTCCAGGTCTGATTTCAGCGGACTTAGGGCCCGTTTCAGAGAATGGGACATGCAACATGAATTCGAACCTTTACCGCACCGAGACAGAAAGATCGACAAGGTGAGAAACGAACCCGCGGCCGCATCGATCACCAGAGCCGATCGCCATCACTTCTGCTTCAGTCTTCTCGCAGATCGTGATCCACGAAGGCTTCAACAAGCGGCAAATGTTCAACGACTACGCCGTGTTGATCCTGGATTTTCCTGTGGAGCTGGACGATCACATCGACACCGTCTGTCTGCCTGGGCCTCGGACGAATTTCGTCGGTCGTCGATGCCACGTATCGGGATGGGGGTATTCCAATGCCGTCTTCGAGCTTAAAAAGGAATTCCTCGAATGAAAGAAACGAAATTCTTGGCGTTTGAAGGAAATCACAGCTCGAGGAGGGGCGACACCAGGCGGCGCTGAGGAAGATCGAGCTACAGATGGTGGAGAGGGCGCGGTGCCAGGACAAACTGATGGAAGCCGAATTCTGCCCTTCCTTCGTCCTTCATCCCAGCTTCCTCTGTGCCGGCGGGGAACTCGCCAAGGGAGTGTGCAAGGTCTGTTGATTTTGTTGAAGTTGAAGTGATGACCGCTTGAACGGGCGCTGCTGAACTCGGAAGCTCGATCTCATTGGACGATATCAGGGCGCGATTTCACATTTAAAAACCTATTTTAAAAATTGATGCTGTAATTGACCAAAGAGACATCGCGAAATCTGAGCATAAAATCAGTAAATGCCGCAAATTCGATGCAGGAAACAAATTTGATTCCTGCTCAGGTCTTGCCGATACCCAACGTTTGTCGGTTGATCGCAGGGCGACGGAGGCAGTCCACTCGTGTGCCTGGACCCATTGACGAACCACTACGTCCAGGCCGGGATCGTGTCGTGGGGGATCGGGTGCGGGGAGCGGAACGTCCCGGGGGTTTACGCGGATGTCGCGAAGGCTTCCGATTGGATCGAGGAGGTTCTCTCGACGCACCTGGCGTGTCTGCAACCCGATTGGAGCAATGAGGTTCCCGGTCCCGTGATAATTTATTGAGAAATAATCCTTGTCAGCACAGTATAATACAGTCATTTGACAATACGATTCGTTGATAGACTTACTTCGTCATGCGCATTTGACGTGAAGTGCATGGCGTGTGACTGATAAATACTGCTATGTCACCTCGATATGATATTAAAAGCACTTTTTTAGATATATAGATATATGGACAACTATTCCTAGTCATCATGAGAAATTGTCGAAAGTTAAAAGATGTTAGCATCGATTGTATCACGCAGGTTTCTAGGTGCTATCCTCGAGTTGCTTCGGCTAATGGGCATTAAATGCTGCTTTCGCCGATGAGTTGGGAACGATGCTCTTGAAAACGTACGCATAGCAACTCTCACCCAGCGCGTAAGTAGCGCAAGAAACAAGGAGATGAGTGAAAAAGGAATCCGTATCCTAACATCGACGGAGGCGGGGAGCGAATTCGGTCATTGCGTCTGCGTAGGCAGGAGACGGCAGCGAGGATTGGGTCCTGATGCTTGGGACCTCCGAAGATTTTCCTGTCTTTCTTTTAATTTAGTCCGAGATGGATCGATGTCACGTTTATTCATTTTAGTTCTATTTCAAGAATTAAATTTAGTACCGAGTTCCCATAAAATTCGGTCAGAAAAGTAAATGAACAAAAGCTAATGATCAAACACCCCTGCCGATGTATCCGTGAAACCGAAAGACGTCGATAAAAGTATTGAGAAACGGCCGGGCACACGCACTCAAACGACGCATCGACCACTATGAAGAAGTTCGGACGCGTGATTCGGCCCTGAAGGACTCTCCGTGGCGAGGGAGACGAGACACGTCGAAAACCCTAACGATGAGTTCCTCCGGCTGAACCGGGAAGGTGAGAATGTCGAAGATACCGAAGTCCGAGGGGCGCAGGCACCTGGTGGAGGCACTGGAGGCATAAGCACTTCCCGTCTCGTTTCCTCCTCCAAGTCCTGCAGGCGAGCATCCAGATGATCCCAAAAACGCTTGCAAACTTCCTTACGAATGCGTACTCCTCTCCCAATGCGAGGTGAGTTACAGCTTGCAGGAGAATTTTTGGCATCAAAATCGTGGGGTCACCGTGCAGTTTACGACTGGAGAGAACGAGTTTATCTCAGTCTCATAGCGTCAGTCTTGGCACTTGTCCGTAAAAAAGTCCCATTCCTGCGAGAGAGGAATATTTACGATCTCCTTTACGGTTACGCTACAATAATACAGGTTTCATCCGAGTGAAGTAGACCTGTTCGAGAGCCTCGGGTCAGGAATGCCAACGGGTGAGGGTAGAACGACGTGGCATCATCAGAGAGATATTAGCCTTCTCTTCAATTTCGGTCACGTAAAATACGAAAAAATGCTTCTCGAGGCCGGGATTAACCCACTTGCGTCTCGGGGTTGAGATGCGGAGCCATCACCCGACCCCTCGGCGTTCAGCACCCACTCAGAGGCTTAGATTCCAAGAGAATGTCATTGCTTTACATTTCCCCATATCTGATTCAAAAATGTTAAATATACATGATTTTTTTCAAATCGATAAATTTGGAATTGAGTTTGACTAAACTGGTTATAATTTTGAGAAATGTGATCGATTTTGCTTTCGGAGCATTACACTTAGCAAGAAAAAAGCACTTTCCTATCATTTTTAATAACGTGAGTCTGAGCTCAAATGTTTTATATTAGGGGGTTATTTTGCTTCATTCGGCACAATTACGTAAGATTCCAACTTTTTTTTCAACAACTAATCGGCAACACCCTTGAAGTTTAAAATGGCTGTCCGTCTAGGTCACGCCAAGATTGAGACGTTATCAGACTTTTTCTTGCGAAGGAGTGAAATCGTGGGAAATCCATTGTAGGGCGATCAATTTGCATGGTGAAGGCTGTTTGTCATAAAAAAAAAAATAGGAGTGGGAATGCTCCAGAAGTTGAAGAATGCGGTTCAAGATCAACGAAGAGCTATGGGGCAGGCAGGAAAAGTCACGTTAATGGTGTTTCGGGATGAAAATGGCTTGAAATTGGAGGGTCCTATAATCACTATCGATAGAGATTCGTACTGAGATTTCCTAAGAAAATTTCTGAATCTTTAAGACCCGTATATGAGGCAATTCCCCCTATTCTCTCCTGACTTGGTCTCCAGTGGCTCTCATCTCTTCGGGCCATTCAAAGAAGTGGCTGCACGAGGGACCAAATTCTTCTTCAATCCTGACCCTACTTCCGCGTTTCGTGAAGGGCATCGCTCGAGATGGAGCCAGTTTTAAAAAGTGAACGGTTTTGAAAACCAAGATTTCATCGAAAACAGTTTTACTCACATTCGCGGTTTTCATTTGAAACACCCTCGTAGGAAACAGAATCTCTCGATCTTAAAATGAGCCTTCCACATGGTACCTACATCCCCCTCTCATCTCATCTCAGCGAGTTCCCGTGGATGACAGCCATCTCGCTCGAGGAGCCCGACCCGCAGGGGAGCGCGCAGTCCTTGTACGAGTGCGGTGGCTCCCTCATACACCCACAGGCTGTCCTCACCGTCGACGAGTAATATGTCACATGTTCTCTTGGCAAAAAAATTTCGTCTCATCTGATTTCTCTGCTTTCGAATTGAAACTAGTTTTCCAGTCTTGATCACAGTGGATCGAAGGCCCATTTCGGCGAGTGGGACACACAAAGCGAATACGAGCTTTTACCGCTCCGGAAACGAAGAATCAAAAGCGTGGGAACTGCATTCCTAAACTTACCAATCGCTCAGGAAATCAGGAATTATTTTTAACACTTCTTGCAGATCGTGATCCAAGAGGGCTACAGCCGGCTGACGCCATTCAATGATGATCTTGGATTCCCCGGTGAAGCATCGACGGGGTCGATCTGCCAGGACCCCAAACGAATTTGCGTCGGGCATCGATGCAATGTCGTTTGATGGGGGTGAGGATTGGCATCTCTCGAGATTTTGTCTTGACTGTTGTACGAAGACCTCCCTGAACTTTCGAAGGGAATCGGCTTTCGGAAAGGATGGGCGAAACCGAGAGTCGCTGAAGAAAATCGATCAATATATTTTTTTTTATGATTTGAAAATTCGATAATTTTTAAATTTTTGCATGAATTTGATTTTCGAGTAACTGGACTTAGCTAATTTTCAATTTGACTCATGACGGGAACGTTGAATGTAATAAAAGCTCCACGTGGCACCCATAATTTTTTACTTTTCTCTCAAATATGAACATAGAAATGCACACTTGAACTCTCGGAATCACTTCTGCAATAAATGGAATCCTCCGCAATTTATGGTTAAATTAAACAGAATGGAATTTTTTTTTTTAAATTGCATTTGAAGTTCCCAGATTTTCTCAGTCCGAATCGCCCTATTCACACCAGTTCCCAATGCACATCGCGCGAGCAAGGATTCCGAAAATTTCCTCTGATGTCAATGGGCTTTGGGAGCCTCGTGTTCCTCTCCGAGAGCATCAACGAAATTCGGCATACTTCTTCCTCTCTCAAGGCAGAATCGCTCCAGCAAATTTGAAGCTCCATCTTGCGGAGATCACTGAATCTCGCTTTTGGGAGATGTGAATGACTTGCAGGTGACAAAAAGTGTCCTTTTCGTTTTTCTCAAGAAAAATGAAATTAGATGCCGTTAATTAGATGCCTTTCCGTGATGGAACGGTCCCGTCCCGCAGTGTTGCCGGATGTCACGATTCGCGACTTCTTCAGCCTCTCATGGCATGAGCTGAGAATTGAAGCGGCGGTTTTGCAGCGGCCGATCGATATGGCGGAATCCGGAGATATCTCATCCGGACATTATCTGGATATTAATGAATCCGGATATTAACACGACGGCGGCCAGCTTGCATGTCATGCGACCGAAAGGCACTTTCTTCTCGGAACGAGCCGAGACGATCCCAGGAATTCTAATGTTCCCCGACCGCACTGAAATGGCTCACGAAACTCGAAAAAGACCTATATTCGACCTAACGTTACGCGTCCTCGTTACACGTCCTCGTTACGCGTCCTCGACGCGGCGTCTCGAAGTCCAGGGATTAATTCCTTCAGGTCTAATTGGTCCGTAGCCTCTTTTGGTCGGTTTGGTTGAGGTTGAAGAAAGGTAAAACTTTTGAAAATTGGTTTTCACATTCCTACATATCCCCTCGCAGACTGAATAATTATCTTGAAATTTCAAACTAGGTCCATCGCAGAGTACAGAGGAGCCCCTGTGCATCGGATGCGATCGTTGAACTCATTATCAGTATCTTTATAATAGAACTTATCAGCGGTGCGGTGTTCCTGTCTCAAGCGGCAAGAAATCGTCCTGCTGGGCATCCGCTGGACATCCGCTGCGGATGTCCTGGAGATACGCTGGACATCCGCATGATATGCGTAGCCTTCGAGAAAACTTTCCTGGTAAGATATTTGAGCGCTGGGAAATATCCTTCTCGCAAAAGACTTATAAAGGTCATCCTTCGGAATGGAACTTGAGATCAAAGGGCAGTAAAGGCCATGGTTTAATTTTTCAGGGTCACATTCCCCCTGATTACCCCCCGATGACACAGGGACAGGAATATCTCGAAAGCGAAAATCAGCGAAAATTGCGATAATTTTGTTTGCAGTGCGAACAACGTCGATCGAGCGATGTTAAATTTTAACCGACATAGGACTTGCATAATAGTCTTTTTCTTTCGATTATTTAGTATTTTCTCTCAACACGAGACAACATCCAAGGACCGAAAGGACGACGCGACAAAGCCCACCGACGACGATAAGGAAATTCATTTCCTTCCCAGTGTCCGCCCCCGCCGGAGAGCGACGACGACGCGCTCAGGATTTTCGGAGAAGCAGCGACCGGCTGAATTCGCAGTAGGAATCCCATTCATTCTCGTTCTTTTTCCAAATTTTTCTGAATTTGAAATTAGGAAGCCGTTCTAAATGAAAGTACAAAATACTAAATTACCTTAACCTAATTACTTTCTCGAGATTTGGTCTTATACTCCTCTCTGTTGAGACAATTAGTTAATGTTGTATTTTGTTCTGAATTGAGAGCGTTCTGCTTGTTTATGTTTTATTTACTATTGTTTATTTTATTTATTATAATTTATTTAATTTATTATAATTTATTTAATTTATTATCATTATTATTAAGAGCCCTTCCATTCTCTTCCAATTGTTGATGTAATTGCTTATTCTGTCCTAAGAAAACCAGTGCTCAACATTTCGAGAGCTTCTGTTTTGACCGAACAGGTTTTAGCACTCCGTGATACTTAAGGGCTTTGCGAGAAGAGAAACTCAAAATTGTAATTAGCTTAGTAAATTAGTTATTAGTAAATGTAATAGCCACGGGTAACTAACTTGAACAATCGCGAGGGCGCAAACATTTTTCAAATTAGCAGTAATATATTTTTGCACCCTTTTGACTTCGATGTGATATCCTAATACTGCTTGGGCAAATAAAAATTAAAGTGGTACTTGGGCCATGAAGTTACCAAAAACGGTCATGAAAATACATGAATGGAAAATATTTTACGGATATATATTTAAATCCTTATTTCTCATCTGAAGAGCTCCATCTTTTGTCATGTCTCGTCGTAATGAAAATGCATGATCATCAAAAGAGTTAGATATACTTAGAAGTACCTAAGGGTGCTCCTGAAACTCATCTTCACAGACGATGAAGACGCTTGGAGTCGCGACGTTGTTGGTCCTGGGGACCCTCACGGCGGCGAGGGTGATGCAGGTCGAAGACCCGAACGACGAATTCCTCCGGCTGAAGCGGGAGGGTGAGAATGTCGTCGATGCCGGTGGGGCGCAGGTATCGAGGGCTCTGGGACCTCCCCAGAGGGAGGAGACCGAAAGCACTTGCAGGCCGCCTTTCGAATGCGTGCCCTTCTACCTCTGCGAGGTGAGTCGCTGCGTCCGCAGTAATTTTTTTGAGTCGAGAGAGTCTTATTTACATCATGCTGTTTATGATGGACAGGCGTCTCCAATCCCACGATCTGACTCTTGGTAATCCCTTGAAAATAAATCCTACCTTTACGGAAGCTAGGAATTTTCAGACGGATAAACTGCAATAAAACAGGTCAATGGGTGAGAGAAAAACGACGAAGCATCATGAAGTCGCAGGAAAAATTAATTTTGGGTGTATTTCCTCTTAGTTCTTTCATTCCAGAATTTCTGGCACTAAAAAGTGTATTCCAGATAGAATGCCATGCATGAGTGCCAGCGAGCATAAATCATTCACGTTTCCAACCTGCATGCAGGGAGGGGGACTCCAAGAATACGAAGAGGAAATCCTGGTCTTACCCGGCCGAGAGACCGAGACCATGACCTGCTCCGCCTTCTTGGACGTCTGCTGCCGGAGTTCCTCCATCCAGCTCGAGAAAAAATGATTAAACGTGGATGTTTTTGGATTCATCGACTTTTCCTGTTTCCTCGAAATTCGACGCGGTGTTGATCTTGAAGAGTTAACATGTCTCATGCGAAACTCCAAAATTTGAATTTTTTTCTTTGCGCTGGTAAAGGAGGCACGAATTTAGAACATATAGGTTTTCAGGCACATTCGTACCACTTTTTTTTTTTATTTCATCACCCTATTATCTCTCGTAGGAGTCAAGATAACAGAATAAAAATTGCAGTGATAAAAGTCCCCCTCTGGTTCAATTTTATGATTTAATTTCGTTATTTTCATTCCCACATGAGGCCACAACCACCTAACATTAGTAAATTCATATATGTTCGATAATAGACTGTAACACGACAGAACTCACGCCATCGAATAGATCTTGGAATGCGCTTTCGTATGACACGTGAGAATTAAAAAAAAATCAGGATTCCCACATGGTGAAAAATGAGGTCAACGTTCGCTAAAGTAAAAAAATGGTAAATTCGACTCTCATTTTCGACATGTGGGAATGAAAAGAACCAAATTATATTCATATCACTTATATCGCACAAAACTGTTGTCAAAATTCATATTTCCTTTACCAACGGAAAAAGAAAAATAATTGAAAGTATTCGGATTTTGGAGTTTCGCGTAAGACCTGTTAACTGAAAATTTTCACATTTTTCTGAGGTCGCCGAGGTCGCCGAGGTTGCCGAGGTCGCCATCCCTAGGTCATTTAGCACGGAGTGACCCTCGTGACTTTTTTTTATATACTTTCTTTGAATACATCAGTATCTTATGGGCATCAATATCGAGATTTATTGATCGGTTTATCAATGGGAAAATTATTTATATGGAATTCATTTAAACATAAACCTACTTGTCGATAGTAAAATTCACTCATTCCTACTTCATTGTCCCCTTGATTAAGACAAACTTCTCTCTGGTGTTCTTCCGCGAGAATTCATTCGGGCGCAGAACCATTGCGTTTTGGTGAGAATTCTGATCAGTTAAGTTTTTCATACTTTTTTCAAATGCAACTTTTTCAAACATGATCGTTTCCAAGGCTTCTTGTCGGATCGACGATGCAACCAGACGTTAATCGTGAATGATGAACAAACTGGATTATTTTTTTACGGATTGAAAATTCGGTGAATTTTGACAATTTGGATGACTTTGGATTTCGGTTTACTGGAGTAAATTAATTTCCAAAGTTGTGAAATCTTTTTAGGGGATGACAAATGAATGTGATGTTAAACGTATACGGTAAATTAGACAGGATGAAGTGAGGATATAGCGTTTCAGCTCGTTCCAAATTGCTGGAGTCACACCAGTTAAAAAAAAATTGCGAAATTTCTTCCTAACTCGTCAAATCGTCAGAAACGTTGCAGCTGATGGATCGGAAGGATTTCATTTTCGCAAAAGTTTAAGTACATGTGGAAAAACTTTTTGGTGCGATGCGAAGTACCACCTTCTCCTTGCTCTCTCGTCGTGAAGTTGAGCGACGTTAATTGTTAATTAGCAATTACCTGCGGAATAACAACATGAAATTATTTTTCTTTCGATGCCCGCACGATCCTCGTCTGCGATGACGCGAGAAAGTCAAATATTAACAGACGGGACAACCTTGAAATTCAAGGACGGCAAACACATAAAATCACATCAACGAAGCCACGAAGCAGTTCCGTGGTCCCAGCCAATACCTACCAATCGGCACGAAGGCCATCTTGCACTCGAACCAACGCGGACGTCAAGCCCTGGGGTAAAGACTGAAAAACGCATTTTCTACCCAGGATCTGCAACATCAGCTCATTCTTGTTTTCTCGCATTCCTCATTTTCTGACCTCGAAATTAAGAAGCCGTTTTGTACAAAGAATTAAACTAATTTACCTTCTCAAGATTTAGTCACTCTCCCCCCCCCCCCTCTCTCTCTGTTGAGACAATTAGTCAAATTTGTATTTTTTTCTGAATTGAGAGTATTACTGCTTGTTTCTTCTTTTCCCTATTAAAAAAACTTCCATTCTCTTTCAATTGCTATTCAAATTGTTTATTCTGTCCCAAGGAAACGACTGCTCCACGCTACAAACTTCTGTTTTGGCTGAACAGGTTTTAGCACTCCGTGATAAGGGCTTTTGGAGAAGAGAAACTCAAAATTGTAATTAGCTTAGTAAAATAGTCATTAGTAAATGTAATAGCCATAGGAAACTAACTTGAACAATCGTGAGGGCGCATACATTTTTCAAATTAGCAATAACTTTTTTTTGCATCTTCGATATGATATCATAATACTGCTTGGGCAAATAAATATTAAAGTGGTATTTGGGCTATGAAGTTGGCAAAAACGGTCATGAAAATACACGAATGGAAGATATTTTACGGTTATATACTCGTATTTAAATCCTTATTTCTCATCTGAAGAGCTCCATCTTTTGTCATATCCCGTCGTAATGAAAATGCATGATCATCAAAAGAGCTAGATATACTTAGAAGGACCTAAGGGTGCTCCTAAAACTCATCTTCATAGACGATGAAGACGCTTGGAGTCGCGACGTTGTTGGTCCCTCTGGTCCTGGGGACCCTCACCGCGGCGAGGGTGATGAGGCAGGTCGAAGACCCCAAAGATGAATTCCTCCGGCTGAAGCGGGAAGGTGAGAACGTCGAACGATGCCGGAGTCCGTGGGGCTCTAGCATCGAGTGCTCTGTGGCCAGTCCGGAGACAGGGAAAGCACCTGCAGGCCGCCTTTCGAATGCGTGCCCTTCTACCTCTGCGAGGTGATTCGCTGCGTCCGCAGTAATTTTTTTGAGTCAAGAAAGTCTTATTTATATCATGCTGTTTATGATGGACTAGTGTCTCCAATCACACGATCTGATTCTTGGTAATCCCTTGAAAATAAATCCTACCTTTACGGAAGCTATATATTAGGAACTTCCAGACGAATAAACTGCAATAAAACAGGTCATATCCACTTGAATTCGTGTCGAATGGACCTGTTGAGGAGCTCCAATGGGTGAGAGAAAAACGACGAAGCATCATGCAGTCGCAGGAAAAATTACTTAATCACTTCCATTCGTCGTGAGTAGAGAGAACCTGTTGAGGAGCTCCCGATCAAAAGCGTCGGTAGGTGAGGGAAAAACGACGAATCCTGTAGTTGCAGAAAAAATTAACTTTGGATGTATTTTCTCCTCGTTCTACCATTCCAGAATTTCCGGCATTAAAAATGTACTCCAGACAGAATACCAGGAATGAGTTCCAGGGAGTGTAAATCATTCACGTTTCCGGCTGAGATGCAGGAAGGGGTGGATATCACGTAGAGGAGCCTAGCATACCGCCCTTCCATCGGGACAAACGGGAGTCAGGCTACACGAGCTGCCCCAACTTCCTTGATGTTTGCTGCCTGGATTTTAGTTTATCCACCACCGCAAAATCTTACATCCCTCATTGGGGCCAGGGAAGTCTGTGCCCTTCACTTCATTTTTTAATTCCTTATTCTCCATTTCATCATTTCACTTCTTTATTTTTTAACGAGCCTGCCTATTTTTTCGTGAGGAGAAATTCAGTTGTGCGTGCTATCGGCGGTCGCGAGTAAGCGATGTCCCCTCCTAAAAATAAAAATAAACACGATCTGTGGACCCTAAAAGTTGATTGAGAGGCTAAGTTCCATTTTCGTGAAGGGTATCCTCATGTTTGCATGCACGCCTCATCCGTACGTTATACTTTTCGGCTGCTCTCTGGCCTGTAAATGTTAATTGATATTTGTTTTCCAGCCTTGATTACAGCAATCTGATAGCCCGTTTGGGAGAATGGGACACCCAAGACCAAAACGAGCAGTTACAGCACGAGGAACGAAGAATCACAAAAGTAAGAACTGGGGTCTTTTTTCACGAAATTTCTTTAACTTTTCTTTTTCTTTACTTTAACTCAACTAAAAGTCCATTTCACGAGGCCTTTCTTCTTTAAACTGACTTAGTTCCCATGGCAACATTATCAGAGACATGCTAGGGTCACTTCCTGTTCCTCCCAAAAAGATGAGGGGGGGCCTCAGAGGTCATCCACCTGTGACGCCCCCTTGCCCTTGAAAGGGGAAGCTCTTTGAGTAGGATCTTTGTTTCGCGTTTAAATAACGTCATTCTGTGGATAGAAGCATCCGTGATTCATCATTGTCATGGATTCTGCAAGAAATCGTTTCTGCGAGTCAGGGTGATTCTTTTGACCACTGCTACTGTAAAGTTCGCGAAACGCAAAAACAGAGCAACAAAGGCAGCTATGGAAGTAATAAATCCCAAAGGAATCATGTCGCTAGTCAGTTTTCCTAAGTGGAACGATGACGGATGTGAGGAAAAGAAAAGAAAAAATTATCCAAGGATGAATTGGATGTTCTGATTGAAGAAGTACATCAACGGAAAAGTTCGGGAAATTCACATCGACCTTGACTGCTTCAACCAAGCAAAGAGCAAAAGGAGGCAAAGAGAAGGAAGACCATCTTCATTAGTCACACTGTATTTTCATCAGATTGAGGAATATATTAAAGATTAGGGTAGAAGAGAAGTTTTTATCTTTTTCATCAGACTTTCATCAGACGCCAATAAACCAGATTGTGATTGGATGCTTTTCGTTCTTCCTCATTCGTTAGGCAAAGATGCTGATAGAATTGCGAAATAGTCTGAACTCACTGTTGGAAATGCTTGTCTGATGAATTCTCGTCGAGTGGAAATTCCCAGAGTTAATTCATTCCTGCTTCTTGGGGGGGGGGAAGGCTTGCTGGTGGATCGCCTGCTGCTTGTGGGATTTCTTCATCAAAGGATATATTTGCCCTGACATAAATATTATTTAGCACTATGGCAGGCTGGCCAATACGTCTGAAACGTGATTTCAAGAGTCCAATGGCTCTTTCAATCATGGATCGCGTTCTTGCATGAGCCGCATTGAAGGAGATTTCGGCTGGTGTCGAAGGATTTAGGACAGATTTAAGGAGGTATGGCTTGAGAGAGGGTAGCCAGAATCCCCTAGTACCCTAGTAGCACTTAACATTGAATCAGTACTGACTCAGCGTTAGTTCAACTTCCGGATGTTGAGTCAACGTTGAATCAATGTTGTTTCGATGTTATGTGCTACTTGGGTAGCAAGAATCCCCTAGTAGTCAAAAGCCCCTAGTAGCCAGAATCCCCTAGTAGCCAGAAGCCCCTAGTAGCCAGAATCCCCTAGTAGCCAGAAGCCCCTAGTAGCCAGAATCCCCTAGTAGCCATCCTCCAGAGGGCACCAGGTGCTGTTGAAGTTTCTCACGCAGGAAACTGTGGGGAGCAGGATGTTCCCAGGGATCTACGCGGATGTCTGGAAAGCTTCCGATCGGATCGATGAGATCATTTCGACGCACATTACATGTATACGTAACCGAATTGGAAGAAGGAGGGTTCCGATTCCGAGACGATTTACTGAGAAATGATCCTCGTCTCCCATGCGGAAGGGAATGAAACCGGGGCAATAAGACTCCTAGACTGACCGGAGGAGAAAGATGATAGAGAGAATAAACAAATTTGGAGCTTCGCACTCACTTTCGCCGTTGAGAATTCCTTCGTGAAAATTTCTCCTCGACTACTTACACTTATTATTGGCTTATTTGGAACACCACCCACTTGGAATTTTGGTTCTCTTCGAATTCTCGACAGAAACTATTCACTCGCGTCGGGGAAGGCTGCAAGCTTCAGTTTTTTTAAAATTAAATCTGTAAATCAGCGGCATTCGAATTTTGGGCCCAGAGGAATCGTATAGTGAATGGAAGTTAAAATATTTCCGTATGAAATCAGACAGGCCAACATGAAGCTCTTTACAAATCATTTCGAGTAAGTACAGAAGCTGCCAAGCCTATTCGTCACTCCTTGGCGTGATTCACGCAGAAGCTTACTCATTTCTTCGAGTCTGAACCAAGAGCAATCGAAAGAAAGATACTCGAAACTGATGCGAGAGATTTCGCCCGCCGAAATCAACGCGATGGATCAGGATATGAAAAGTTCCTCCAGAGCCTCGACGACTTTCTACGCCTTCCCAGGTTGAGTTCTGGGAACATTTTTTCCATTTAAGGTTATTTAAACCTCGTTATAAAAATTGCCTCCTACATCGCACCAGTGTGGCCAGACATTGGATGAATATCTAAATAATTAAATTTTTTGGAAGGATCTCATTCTGGAAACATTCCCTGCCCAGCTCGGACCGATTGGCTTGACGGCAAACGAAAGGTTCTTCACTGTTTGTGTACTGGGTGCAGTGCAATGGCCCGAGTCCTGTCGCTTTTTCATCGGACTTTCCGGTCATAACGTTTAACATCTTGACATCACTTGACGGCGTGTGCCTTCATGGCCCCTTCCTTAAATAAATTTTTAAAATTCCAAAAATATCCCATAATGGTGATTTTATATCACCTATATTTCCCCATCCCTATCCTTCACTGCTGCAGACGGAGAGAAATGAGAGGGATCGCGCTGGTATCCCGCTTCATCATCCACTTCAGCGGCGTGGACAAGGCCGGAGGGGGGAGAGTTTTGGGGTCATAAGGATAAATTTTACAGGTTCGCAAAAAAAAATTATTTGGGCCAAATGTGCAGGGTGGATTACCGATTTTTCATAGGTCAGCCCTCCCAATGGAATCTTCTAGGCACGCAACTGGTCCGCTTCATCATGCCATCTGGATGAGGGACGAACTTCTGGCGGAATTCCGACTCGACCTCGGCTAAAAAAATTCATTTTTTTTTCACGCAGAACTTTCAGGATAAAACAAAACAAAGCAGGAAAGTGGCTATGAACATTGGAAAAAACGACTGAGAGAATTGGAATTAGAGAATCTCGTACAAGGTGGAATGGTACTGAAATGTATGCATGCATTAAAATGGGAAGAGATGTGTCTGACACATCGGCTTTATTTTTTTTATTTATTTGAAAAGCTCCGTCCCGTAGTACACCTCTCAGAAACGAGTTCCTAAACAAGTTCTTGCGGAGGTAACCGGGGAAGGCAAGACGAACCCAAAGAATATCCTGAGGACATCACGAACGAAGAGGGCAATTTCAATTTTTGGCGGAATTTCGAAACTTAAGCAAGGATGGATTTCGCACTCCATCTTATTTTATCCATCAAATGTTTAACGTACCAAAGGGAGGGGAGAGAAGTAATTCCTTTGCAGACATGCAGGTAGCACGTGTATACTTTCAAAAGTGGTCTTTATAGATTATTACAGGGACCAAGAAAGTTTTATGTGCAAGATTGTTATGTGCATGCATGAATTCTGGACTAAAAAAAAAATCTTTTCCAAAAGCGACGGAAACCAGCGACGATACCTCTATATTCGGGTAAATGTAACATGCAAGAGTTACGGATGGTATTGCAATAATTACATTATTAGACATGATAATATTAATTATAATGAATGAATAATAAGACAAATGACAGCACAAGAAGTCGAGAAACCAGCCTGAAGGAACAGCAAGATTTTCTCTTCGAATCATTTCAAACACCATGAATTGTCCATGGTATATGACTTGGACGAAGGGGGCATTCGGTCCAATTTCCAAGTCCTTAGCATGTTCAGCATGGTGATACTTTGGCAAGGCACATGTTATGTCAGTAAAAATAAATAATAATAATAATAAAATAATAATTTAAGGACAAGGCCTTTTTATAGTAACATCGTAACTCAGTGCGGCAATTGTTTCCTGTTTCCAAATGTTTTCCGATCTAACAAATCGCAAATAGAAGCGGAAGACTCTGCAGGGGCAGATGTGATATTCTTGGACGTGAAACGAATCGAAAATAATTTTCCGATTAAAAGTTCCAACATTTTCTATATAACTTTGGTGGAGTGCATCGGTGTTCAGGAGCTTCGTAGGAGCACGCAAGTGACGTTAAAAAGCCATTTTGAATGAAAAATGAAAGGATTTTTACCTTCTGCCAGGTTTTCGAGATACGAGAGCGCTCTCTCTCTCTCTCTTTCTCTCACTCGGTATTTTCATTCCACTTCTCTCTCTTCTTCCTTCATGTCTTCATTACCATTCTTTTGCGGAAGTGGCTGATTCAGAAGGAAGAAATGTGCGGGAGGAAAAGGGCCCATGATCTCACTTCCCAAGCGGATGCAAGTGTTCCGGGGTTCTGGGTATTTTTCTCCGTGTCATCGCGACCCGATCGGCAGACACCATGGATGATTTGACCACAAGCAGGACATCCTTCGATAAAAGTTTCGATAGAAAGCGGGATAAATACTGGTACCCACTCTCAGACGACACGAGGACCACCATGCAGACCTACGGACCCGCAACGCTCTTGATCCTGCTGGGCCTCGGGGCTCTCTCCGGGGCGTGGGAGAAGAGACGAGCGTATCACCCGAGCAATGAGGACTTGAGGCGAACCGAGGGCTTCGAAGACGAAGCGCTCGAAGACACAGAAGCACGCTGGGAGCATAGGGCTAATGGAGGGGCCTCACCGCTTCTCCGCATCCAGTCCACTGCGGGTTCGATCGATTCAATTCCGTCTTCTCCTCCTGGTTCTTCAAGCGGAATCCCACCACAGCTCGAGGGTTCTTGCAAAGCTCCTTACGAATGTTCACCCTATTACCTCTGCCACGTGAGTGACTTCTTCCTGGAAAAGATTTCTTCATCGAAAGCTTCTGCAAACCGTACTTTATATAACCGACTGGGGAGAAAAGGGGTCAGTCACTGAGCGGATTTATTTATTAGCTATCCTCGAAAAACAGATCCCATTTTACCGTCTATTGCAAAATTAGAACTTTGATCACCTTTAGAAAATGTTGGAACAGAATTGGTCCATACATGCACGAATGAGGTGTACAGTAGACCTACCAAATATCCTCAGGTATTTCCCTGAGGATCTTCTGCTGCGAGGTGAGGAGGGAATGACGGAATATTTGAAGATGTTTTAGAAAATACGCCATTCCAAAAAAAGGAACTGAGCAACGGAGAATTGAGGAAGGGACGATCCCTTCCATCTTTCTTTGATTGCCCTATCGAAACTCCAACATGAGTCATCATGTATCAAAGGGAACTGAGAGACCTTCCAAACCATGCGAAAATCGTCGTATCAGTTGGCGAAATTTCGAACAATGTACGAGGAGAGAGAGGACAATATCCACTCAAACTCGGGGAGAGTGCTCAGTTTTTTTATTATTGAAATGGTCTATTAATATTCTACAATTTCTCATCCACCTCCAGGCCTCCCAGAATTTCAGTATCGTAAAGGTGAATGATGTCACAACAGAAGGTCGGGAATGACGAGTCTTGTATAAATTGCCTGAACGCTTTGGTTACCGGTTGGGATACAGGGAAAGGACATCATCACCAATGGGTCTGGGATCATAGACGTCCGCTTCGAGGAAGGAGTGGGATCCAAGCTGGTGGGTGGGAACTGCCCCACCTTCCTGGAAGTCTGCTGCAGGGACCCATTAGCATTCAGCATATCCATCTCCGAGCCGTATATACATCACTGTGGCAATAGACACGAAAAAGGTGTGTGCTTCATTTTCGGATTCTCCCCATTCCTGTTCATCATTTCACTGTTTTCTTAAACATATCTCCATTTTTGATCGAGAAATGAAATTACTTCTGCATCAAGTGTCTGAGAGATGTTCGCATTAAAGTTTTTTTAATTAGAAATTTCAAAAAAATTATCAACTTGCCATCTATTCGATTCTCGAAATGTTGCATCGATAAAAAAAAATTCAGGAGGCAAACCCAAGGTTTTCGAAAAAATTTCGAGCGGCCGAAGGACATACCACTCCCTCTCCCATGTGTGACGTAACGAGTAATCAATATTATTTGATCACCTGCCCTGTTCCAGATTCGAGGGTCAAGGCAGGTTCGCCAGACAGAATTTCTGGAGAAATGGAAACCCTCGTGATCTTTCCAAGTAAATTACTTAACTTTATTAAAAATAAAGGCAATAATGAATTATCAAAAGTAACAGTTAAACTTTAACAACAAGAAATCTATCCAAGTATTCTTTGGACACTTCAAATAAAACAGAGCTTCTTTAATAGGATAACAATACTCAATGAAAAAAAATTAATATTGGATGGGAGAAGGATCCGACTGGGAAAAAATTCTAATCTTGAATGAAGGTTATTTATCTTACTGTTCTTTCTGTCTGTTACTCGGGCCACACTCCTCACGCAACCAAGGAACAGGGCTAACCTTTACAGCTGGTTGGTTGTCCTGGAGTCAGCTCCGGATATGGTAAGGTCACAATGGTGCCTTCCAAATAACGACTGACTCAGGCATCCACGTTTCTTGCCAATATCCTCGGTACCTCTGGGCGGAGCCAGGGTGCCTTCCTCAAAATCCGGAATCCCGATTGGATAGGCAACGTGACCCCCTTTAGTCCCATTGGCTAATTTTGGTGTTGGCTTCGACTTAATTTATTTGAAGTTTTCAGGATCTGGTGACTTCCTTAATGTCTTTTACGAGTTTTCTTTTTTGTGTTTGCGGTTACAGGGTTGTCCCATCCTTACACTGATAACATTCCATCATTCTCGCTTAATACTGAGTATTTGGCGAAATCCTGTATTTTTCCCTAATTCCTTATAATATGGTCATTAATTAAGTCATTAAATAAGATTGAAAGAATCAAAATACTTTCCCTTAATATGCAATACTAGGATTAACAAAATACCACATGAAAGCTAATTCCCCAAAGGTTATTTTAAAAAATTAACATTGTTTCATTTCATCACAACACACCATGATGAAAGGAAGAGGAAGGTATTGAAGACGTTAGAGTAAAATGGGATGGGATTCCGGCAACTCTTTTTCACACTTCAGGAGAACATTGTATTAATTCCTGTTTCCCCCTCTTTTACGGTAATGGTTTTCCCTTCTAATCACCGTAAAAGTTTAATAGTCAGGTGCGTCTAGGGAAACAAAGAGATCTTTTTCTGAAGTATCAAGAGACGAAAAGTAAGGTCGGTCCCGTTCTTCGCACATGAAACCTAACCCCCTTCTACCAATGATATCCCTTGCAGGGATCCAAGTGCAGCTAGTGCTCAACAACGCAAGCTACCACTCAGAGTCCCAGTTCGGCGAGTTCCCGTGGATGACAGCCATCCTGTACGAGGAGCCCGACCAGCAGGGGAGCGTGCAGTCCTTGTACCAATGCGGTGGCTCCCTCATTCATCCCCAGGCCGTCCTCACCGCCGCTCACTGCGTTGAAAAGAACATGTGAGATGTTTGAAATTCCTCTCGTAAAAATGCACTTTTGAGCGTTGCTTCTGGCCGGCTGTGCATCACCTTTCAAGGAAATTAATTGCCAAAAAAAATAAGTCACCCAATGTGTGACGGCCCTCTCGATGGTAACCCAGAAGGTCAACCATTGTGATGTTACTCCTTATGAAGCTGGCGACTCCGTCACATAGCTATATGCATATAAGAATGTATGTATGTGTGCTTGCTGCCTTCTTGTATCTCATATCTGTTATTACTATTCATTTCTAAGCTTATAATTCAAGTTGTCTTTTTAGTTTTGATTACAACAGACTGAAGGCCCGTTTTGGAGAGTGGGACATGCAATCAGAACACGAGCCCTTGCCGTACCAGGAACGAAGGATCAAACACGTGAGACCTGCATCCCCATAGGCACCAGCTTCAAGATTCGATTGGCGTTATTTTTGTCTCAAACTTGCTTTAGATCGTGATCCACGAGGACTACAACCGGCAGACACGATTCAATGATTATGCCATAATGATTCTGGATTCTCCTGTCGAACTGGACGATAACATCGACACCGTCTGCCTGCCTGGACCCCAGATGAGTTTCGTCGGGCATCGATGCTACGTCACTGGTTGGGGGTGAGGGCTACGGTTTGCTACTTTACTGCGTAATACCGGCCTGAAGTGGATGTATGCCTTGGGGAGGAGTTCCTATAGTCCTATAGAAATATGAATGAAAATAAGCCTTAATATTGAAACCTTGAACACTGACAAAAGGAAAGTCCTCCTCGAGTTCGGAATGAATTTCCAAGTTAAATGGTGGCGGATGTTTTGAAGGAAATCGGCGTTCGGAAAGGATGGGCGTTACCAGAGGGTGTTGAAGAAGATCGATCTGTCGGTGGCGGAGCGGGAATGGTGCCAGGAGAAACTGAGAGCGATGGAAGTTCTCTCCAGCTTTTCTGTTCTCCATCCCAACTTCCTCTGTGGCGAATCCGGCAAGGATGCCTGCAAAGTTCGTGCTTACGATCCTTCTTTGTACGAGTTCCTTTGTGGCAATAGTGGGAATCATTCTAAGTCCAGCTGGAGGTCTGCGCTCGTTCTGGTGTTTCCAGGCCGTTTTGGAGAGTCCATGCTTGCGAATGCGAGACGCTTGGATCACAGATATTCGTAGTTGGACACCGTGTTGATGCCTCTTTGCGATTGATGAATTGCAGGGAGACGGAGGGAGCCCCCTTGTGTGCCAGGACCCAGCGACGAACTCGTACGTCCAAGTCGGAATCGTTTCCAGAGGGATCGGATGCGAGGAACGGGACGTCCCGATCGTCTTCACTGACGTCTCCAAAGCTTATCCTTGGATCAGCAACGTCATGACGACGCTCACCCAATATCGTCAGGCTCCGAACTACATACAAAAATATACCAGAAACAAAAGAAGCAACCCATATGTGTTAGCTGTTTTGGGGAGTGTTGTGGGGAATGCTATTTGGGAAGGTGCAAAGTGGGGATGGAATAAATTTACTTGTAGGAGGGTAAGAGAATGTTATACAAACAGGTGCTACACCTATTGCGCATAACATTTTTGAATTATTTTGGTCTGGATGATGGTAGCCACGAAGATTCCCAATTCAAGAAATACTGTCGAGAAATGATCCCCGTCTGACATGCATAAGGCAATAAAATGTGAATTTGTGGCATGGGAATTTGTTTTCACTTGTTTTTACCCATTCATCCGTATTTTTCCACTTACTTGTCCCTGGCGCTCAAGGGTGTTGAAGTCGCTCCCAAAATTTTCCCTAACTGCCAGCCGAGCGAATCGAGCGAATGGAAACTGGCGAAACTTCCCTGTCAAAACGGCTGTAACTACATCCGTTGCCAATATATTGAATAATTTAAAATATTCGGAATTCGGATTTTGGAGCTTCCCGTAAGACCAGTTAAATTCGAAAATGTTCCATTTTTTCTGAGGTCGCCGAGGTCGCCATCCCTAGGTCAGTTTGCACGAAATGGCCTTCGTGACTTTTTTTGGCTCTCTTTGAATAAATCTGCATCTTATGGGCATCAACATCGAGGCTTCTTGGTCGGTTTATCAATGGGAAAATTATTTATATGGAATTTATTTACTTGTCGATAGTAAAATTCACTCATCTTATTCCTGCTTGATTGTCCCCTTGATTAAGACAAACTTCTCTATGGTGTTCTTTCGCGAGGATTCATTCGGGCGCAGAACCATTGCGTTTTGGTGAGAATTCTATCAGTTAAGTTTTTCATACTTTTTCGAAAGCAATTTTTTCAAACATGATCGTTTCCAAGGCTTCTTGTCGGATCGACGACGCAAGCAGGCGTTAATTATGAATGATGAATAAACGGGAATTTTTTTATTATTGAAAATTCGGGAAAATTTGAAATTTTGGATGACTTTGGATTTCGAGTTACTGGAGTAAATCAATTTCCAATGTTGTGAAATCATTTTAGGGGATGACAAATGACTGTGATGTCGAACGTATACGTTAAATTAGCCAGGATGAAGCGAGGAAATAGCGTTTCAACTCATTCAACTCATTCATTCAACTCAAGGAAGGTGAGAATGTCGAAGATACCGAAGTCCGTGGGGTGCAGGCACCTGGTGGAGGCACTCGACCACTCGACATCCCACGACCTAGGGTGAGGCACTTCCCGTCTCGCCTCCTCCTCCAAGTCCTGCAGGTGAACTTTCCAACGAGAAAGAAAGCACTCGCAAGTCTTCTTACCTATGCGTACCCTTCTACCTCTGCGAGGTGAGTCGTTATTTCCTGGATATTTTTTTGTCTTATTTATATTATACTGTTTATGATGGACTAGAAAGGACAAGTGTCTCAAGTCCCATGACCTGATTCTTGGTAATCTCCTATAAATAAATCCTACCCTTACAGAAGATGTACATTTAGGAGTTTTCTGATGGATAAACTGCAATAAAACAGGTCAAATCCACATCCATTCGTCGTGAGCGGAGTGGACCTGTTGAGGAGCTCCCGATCAAAAACGTCGATGGGTGAGGGAAAACGACGAAACATCATGTAGTCACAGGAAAAATTAAATTTTAATGTATTTTCTCCTCGTTCTATTGAATACCATTCCAGAAAATCTGGCATTAAAAAATGTACTCCAGACAGAATGCCAGGAATGAGTGCCAGCGAGTGTAAATAATTTACGTTTCCGGCTGAGATGCAGGAAGGGGTGATTATCACGGCAGAGGAGCCGAGCATACCGCCCTTCCATCGGGACGAACGAGAGTCCGGCCACTTGAGCTGCCCAACTTCTTGGGATGCCTGCTGCCTGGATCCCAGGCTATCCACCACCGCAAAGTCTTACATCCCTCATTGTGGCTAGAGAAAAGAGTGAGGTCTGGGCCCTTCACTTCATTTTTGGATTCCTTATTCTCCATTTCCCCATTTCACTTCTTTTTTTTTAATGAGTCTGCTTATTTTTTTGTGTGATTCAGCTCCTCGTGCAATCGGAGGTCGCGAGTTCGCGAGTTCCCCTCCCAAAAATAAAAATTAAACTCGGTCTGTGGACCAGGAAAGTTGATTGAGAGCCTAAGTTCCGGTTTCATGAAAGTTTCCTAATGTTTGCATGCACGCCTCATATGTTCGTTATACTTTTCGGCTGCTCTCCGGCCTGTGAATTTTAATTGATATTTTATAATTGATATATTGGTATTTGTTTTCCCGCCTTGATAACAGAAGTCCGTTTGGGAGAATGGGACACCCAAGACCAAACCGAGCAGTTACAGCACGAGGAACGAAGGATCACAAAAGTGAGAGCTGAACACGCAAACCGAACTGACCGCCGAATTCCATCGCTATAACTATTACTCATCTCTCAGATCGCGATCCACGAGGATTATGACGAGCGAACCCAGTTCAGCGACTACGCCGTGTCGATCCTGGACTTATACGGCGGTGGAGCTGGACGATCGCATCGACACCGTCTGCCTGCCGAGACTCGGAACGATTTTCGCCGGGCATCAGTGCTTTGTCACGGGATGGGGGTATCCCAATGCCGTCTTCGAGCCTAAAAAGGAATTCCTCGAATGAAGGTAACGAATGAAATGCCTGGTAGGAAAACCTGGAACGAGGGGCCATACCAGCAAGCGTTGAAGAAGATCGAACTGCCGGGGGTGGAGCAGTCCCTGTCCAAGGAGAAACAAGCCAAACGATGCTCTTCCTTCATTCCAATTCCGTGCCGGGGAAAAACTCGGTCAGGGCGTCTGCACGGTGCGTTCTTATGTCTGGGGCCGGCTGGGGTTTGTTTCAGAATCACTCTTGTTGTTTTCGAGGGGGGTCGCTGGTTTCCACGTTCTCCTGGACTGGCGTTGAGCTCGAAAGGCGACGTCTACGCCGATGAACGTTGCAGAGGGTGCGATAAAAAAAAATTCGAAAGCTCATGAAACTAAATGTTGTAATTAACTCAAAGGGACATCACAAATAAACTGAAATAAGCCAACACGTAAACGAAAACTTTTAAAGCATAATTTCTATAAATGTTACAAATTCAATTCTAAGAGAAATTGCCGGCATCTGATTAATTAGTAACCGTTGCTTGTCGGTGAATCGCAGGGCGACAGAGGGAGACCACTGGCGTGCCTGGACCCATTGACGAACAACTACGTCCAGACCGGGATCGTGTCGTGGGGGATCGGGTGCGGGGAGCGGAACATCCCGGGGGTCTACGCGGATGTCGCGAAGGCTTCCGATTGGATCGATGAGATTATTTCGACGAGCGTTACGAGTATACGTATGCGAATTGGAACGAGGAGGGTTCCGATTCCGAGACGATTTACTGGGAAATGATCTTCGTCTGTCATGCGGAAGGGAATGAAAAAAAAAACTTTCTGGGGCATTAAGACTCTTTGATTGATTTTGTCGAGCGAGGGCGGAGGGAATCGAAGGGGAATTTTCCTGGATTTTCTTCGATGGAAAGACAGAAAATTCGGACGGCAGGAGGACGAGCGAGGACTTCGGGGGACTTCGAGGACTTGAGGGAGGACTTCGCGGCGTGACTGCTGTGCTTCAGTCTAATCTCTCGAAATTGCTAATTAGATTCGCGGCAGACGGTCGAAAAGAAAACTTTTCCCGTCGCGCTTATTTTCGTCTTCAAGGACTCCTTAATCGAAAATTCTGCTCGACTACTTACAGGCGAGGCATTTCGGAAGATCCTTGGAAACTCCGAGGCCCTCGCAAGGCGGGAGAATCTCTTTTTCCTTTGAGACCGAGCCAAATGGAGTTTCTATTCTCTTCGAACGCTCGACGAGCCATGCGGAAACGCTATTCACCCTCGTCGGGGGAAGGGTGCCGGCTTCGGTTGCCGGCTTCGGTTGCCGGCTTCGGTTGCCGACTTCGGTTGCCTTTCTTGTCGGTGAATCTATTTGTTGTTCCAGCGGAATCACGTAATGAACGAATTAAAATATATCCGAATGAAAGATGGGTCAACGTGAAGTTCCTCGAAATAATTTCAGAAGTGGTAAAGAGGCTGCCAAGCATGTTCGTCATTCCTTGGTGCGATTCACGCAGAAGCTTAATCATTTCCCCGTGTCTGAACCAAGGGTGGACTAAAAATAGGATTCCTGTATTTCCTTTGGCGCCGACTTAACCATATCGTCGAATTTCTCCTGTCTGTACTGCGTGGAAAAGACGCGAGGGATTTCTACCGACCGAATCGGAAAGACCGATCCAATCAACCGGAGTAACCGAAAGGACACTCAAGAAAAAAAAAAACCTCTGGAAATCCGACCAAATCCAGCTGGACTCTCCCAGTTGAGAAATGTCGTCTGAATTTATCTGAATTTCATCCCTGTCCACTTTTCGCCCTTTGCTC